TCTAAACGCTTCTCTACCTCCTGCTGCTGACCCCTCAACTCCAACTTCTCCTGCTCCAACTTCTCCTGATCCAACCTCAACTTCTCCTGATTAAACTGCATGGCCAAAAGCTCCTTTTGCTGCTCGAACGTCAAACCAGCTGTCTGAACCACTACCGGCACGACCCCTGCCGCACCAGACTCACTCTTCTGCAACACCCCCTGCTCAAACAAAGATGACAGCTTTAATCTCATGTTTCCGCTTGCTCCCTACAACAGCAATTTCATAATGCTCTGCTATTTCGACCAACTTCTGGCAATCTTCTAAGAAAGACACTGAGGGCGCATCCACAAACGCCGACAAAGAAGCCATAATATATTACCTATACCCAATCAGAAAGCAAAGTATTAAACTGTCAACACGCATGGGCAAAAGACAAATCCCAACAGAGAATTTCCCCCCTAACTGCCTAACCAAAACCTTACTAATCTCACCTATAGTCTTCATGTGGCTTGCGGCGGGTAATTACGCACTGGAACCCGGCGGAGTTATGGAGCGACCTGCACTCAGGTAACACCAAGAAATCACGCGGATGTGCCCCCGAGACAGCTGTCCAAAAACAGCTGACACTAACCACGTCACCACAACACTATGAAAAAAAACAGACGCAACCCAAGAGGAAACGCCACTTAAGCCTAGCGGGTAAAACTCTTTACAAAAGCGTAACAAGCAGCAACATCTTACCTTCTGATTGGTACACAACCTGACGACACTAAAGCTTCCTGAAACCCAAAAAACATGATGTGTCCCCCAAATAGCAGCGCCGAGCCAGCACACAGCTGGACCACATCAACTAATTAGGTGCTCAAATGACGCCATGTGCTCTGAGCACTACACAAACTTTTAACCAAATAACCCGTCGGACGAGCCCCGATTTGTTATGACCCGGCTCAAAAGGCCACAACAAAGAGGAGACACACCATAAAATATGTTTATTTAGGACAATCAAATCAAGTCAAAACCAGTAAAGTATGAGGTGTGGATGTCAGTGGTATCAGTAATGTAAATGCAGGGTGAGGATTGTATGTAGTGATGTTACGTATTGCGCCGAGGCTTCGGAGCGTGTGTCGAGTAATCCCCGAAGCTTTTTGTGAAGCATGTATCGAGGCTTGTATCGTTTTGGGCCAGTGACGTCATCGATGACAAACGAAGCCTCGCTGCCTGTCGATACCACGTGACTGCTTCAGGAAGCGATTCAGATCGGTTGAACCGTTGAACCACAACGCTCATAATACCAATGGATGTATAATAAGAACCATATTACCCCTCCTGTACCCAGGCCCAGTGACACGATGGAATCAAGAGAGCTCAGACCCTCACCTATATAGAGGTCGGAACATGTCATAAGTATAAATAGATACAAGCATAAATAAATGTAGGAAAAAAACATGAATGAATAAATACAGGAATAAATATGTTACAGTATTTTCAGGGAGATTCAGCGTGTGTGCTGTGGCTCAGCTGGAAAGCAGTTGACTCACGATCGCAGGGTCTCTGGTTCAACGACTCGTCAATACGTCTTTTTTGTTGTTTATAAAAGCTACAGCTAAATGAGATAATGTAGTTAATACATGTATTCTTTGATATGGTTTAGCCTTTCTCAGGCTACAACATGGTTACGTTTATGAATATTATTAAGGAATACAAATCCCTATTTGTAATGTTTACCAGCCTCCTTAGGCTTTTCAATCACAATCATTCAACTGGAATAAAAACAATATTGTTAACATGAAAATATGATTTAATGTTCGTTGTTTAGAGTTATTCTAAGGCTTTACTCATTGGGAACTCGGTATGAGATAGAGCACACTGTTGAGATGTCCAATCTGCCTGTTTTACACACGTTGACCAACAGGGGGTTTGTGTTCAAATGAAGCCCATGATGAAGCCTCATGAGATGAACCCTTTTGCGAACCAATTGGCTGGAAAGCTTCATAAGGCTTCATCTCGCCATCACTAATTGTATGGACATGTATGTGTGTGAGAGTGTTGAAGTACACAAAGTAAAGCAACTGAAGAAACTCATAATATACTCAACAAAACCAGGGTGCCTGCAGGGAGAAGCAGAGAAAGGCGCAGAGAGGCTTTAAATAGCTGCAGGGCACCAGACCCAGGTGCCCTGAGTTACTGCAATCACCACAGCACAGACAGGACAGCCACCTCCTCTCTACTGATGAACCCACAGGGGAATCTGAAAACGTTATTTATCCCAGGGCGAAATTATGATAAAAGCTCCATTTAGAATAAAATAAAACCAAATGATTTATACAAACATAAGAAGTCAAGTTTAAATGTGCAATAAAAAGATACAAAACGATATTGTACAATACATAACAACAATATAAACAACAACAAATATGTAAAATTGTGTGTAACAAAATATGCAGTGCCATCTACAAGCAATAAGATGTCATCACAATCGATTTGCTTAAAGTTAATGAATGTTAGAAAAGCAGATGAGAACGAAACATGACAGACTTTAAAAACATTAACATGTCTCTAAGCTTTTGAAAGAACATGTATAACATTCATCTGTTTGCAACTTACATATATCAATATTCCAATTACTTGTATATATATTCTGCACTATTTCTGCTATATTCTATTTCATTTTATTTACTTGCACTATTATCTGTTTTATTGTGTTGCACTGTTGGAGGAGCCTGTGACGTAAGATTTGTTGTTGTCATAACTACACTGTAGCTATGGCAACAAAAGCCTTGAAACCTGAAAATGAAAAGAAAAAATGCCCCAAATGCTGGGTTTTAATGACTTTTCCTTCATTTTTTTGGATGTTTATTTGATTCTCGATAAAATTGCTGCCTGTCCCCATCATGAACGCTCTCCCATGGTTCATTTGTTCAGACATACTGCCCATCCCTGCCTTTATATCAAGGATTCAAGGCTTTTATTATCATGTGTGCATAGCTACAGTGTAGTTATGACAATGCAAATATTAGGTCACAGGCTCCTCCAACAGAGCAACACAATACAACAGATAAAATAGTGCAAGTAAATAAAAGTAAATAGAATATAGTAGAAATTGTGCAGAATAGTCTATATACAAGTAATTGGAATATTGATATATATAAGTTGCAAACAGGTGAATGTTATGGATGTTCTTTCAAAAGTTCAAGTGTTTAACAGTCTGATGGCCTGTGGGATGAAACTGCCCCTGAGTCTGGTGGTTTTAGACCTGATATCTGGTGCTTTTTGGTGGAATCGTGTGCCAGATGGTGTTATAATATCTATAAACTGGCCCAGGTTAATGAGCGCAGCTGAAGGGCAAAACACCAGAGAGCCAGCTGGGGAAACTCTAACTGTAGCTGTGGTACAACCGACTCCGCTCATCTCCCGCCCTTTGGGGATCACAGGCCGTTATCCGTGCACGTGCTCCAGTTAAATCCACTGTAATTTGCATTAATATAAACTTTATATTAGGCTGTAATGCAGCGGCGTCCCAAGGGGACACGTTTTAATATGATGCACTGCAGAGGTGAAGGAAGTATGTAGGTGACTGCTCTCTTTTCCACCCCTTACTCTCATGGATCGGGAATATTGTTATTTAAATTAGGCATTGTCTTTTTTTAATATTTCTCAGGAAGATGTGCTTCATCTTCTTGCCTCCTGTTGATACTCAGCTTGTTAGAGAAATTAAATATCAATGTTTCAGTGTCAGTTTGAGCAATGTTACCAATAGATTAGTGCAGTGATGGCTTATTTTTCTAATAGTTAGCATTGCGAGGGCTCCCGTAACAAAAAGCCAAGGAGATTTCTTAGTGTTTTTTTTGTAATATTGCAGAAAATAAGTTCCATGGGAAACATGTATTTATGATATTTTGTTCAGCAGGATAATCTCCACATATTAAGACCACTTGTAAGATTCTTAAGTAATTAAAAAGCTAAAAACAAACGACATCACGGTCCCATGGATTCCCATCACCACAGCTAAGCTAAAGGCGGCTAATCTCAGTCTCTGGGTGTTTCTCAATGTCGAGGACGCTTGCTTGGTAGCACACGTCTTCTGAGCGTCTTGCTTCAGAAGCGAGGCAAGAATACTTCCTAGCCTCGGAAAACGAAGAATGGAACAGGCGAGCAAGTGTCATATGAGAGGCCCTGCCTTACATTTTCCGCCACAGATTTGGGGAAATTGGTCCGTGCGCAAAGCATTGTGGGGATTTTAAGACCGCGGAGTCTACACATGTGCAGCCTCGAAATGTCTCCAAACGAAGTACGCCGGGCTCGGTAGAATTCCAAGTATGCTGGACATTGGAACAGTCCTTCGGCGGCACTCGATGACGTAGTATGCTTGAAATAGTGGCTCTGGAGCAGCTTTACTCGAGATTGAGAAACACCCACTGTGTCACATGACGACGTTTAGTAGTTTCATTAGAAGTCTCTTATACTATATATAAATATTTATCGTCAGATAGTTTATAGATTTGTTATCTTCACGGTCAACTTGTATATTCTTACTTTTTAATGCTGTTTTATTTCTATTTTGAGATGTTTACATTTTTGAATAGTTTATTTCTACTCTTCTCCTTATGTGCAATGCCTCGTTTTTTATGCTGCTGCAACGCAAACATTTCCCAATTTGGGATCAATAAATTACATCCTATGTTATCCCAGCCTTCAATTCTTAGTCTACAGACTTAATAAAATATCTTCGTTTGGTACCGTTCCTCTTAAAAATCACACCTTGGTCATTTTAAACATATCTTTAAATAATCATATATGACAGTATTGATTACAAAATGAATAATCAATCCAACGTCTTGAATCGTAACCTAATTTAAATCAGAATACCTTTATTAGTCCCACAGAGGGGAAATGTACATACAGATGTCATTAAAACTATCACAATGAGTTATTATTCCCTATATCATGCAGCCCTAATGTCTCCCTTTCTCTCTCTTCTCATCTGTGTTGACGGTTGTTTCTTCCTCTCTGTTCATCAGTGAACTCGCTCCCTCTGCTGCTGAAGCTGCTCTGCGTGATGGAGACCAGCGACCCGCCTTCATCCTCCTCCGACAGCAGCAAGATGGACGGCGTGCACTTCAAGCTGCTGTATCACGGTGAGTCACACTGAGCGTAACTCCCCACAGCCCTTATCTATTAGCATACACAAACACACAGAGTTTACATTACTCTGCATAATCAAACACATGCCCTACTTTAGAGGCAGGTGCGTCTTCAACAGGTTCAGAATGTGTCTCCCTCACACAGGCAGGAACATGCTACTTTACATTTTCATCCTGGGGGAAATTGGGTTTTGTGGCAGGTTGCTGCACTTGAGAATGAAATAAAATGAAAACAAAATATTAGAATACATTATTACTATAATTATCAGAAGTGAATGTAAGAATGTGCATTAAAAAGATGATTTAAAATTAAGTGCATGTGAAGTTTAAAATGATGACTTGCTACCATTTGGGGTCGGCTTCCTTGTGACCTCACGGGCCACTGCAGTCCAAAAAAAAAAAATATATTATTTTGAGAAGAATTACAATAAATTAGCAAAAAAAAAAATCACTCCAAAAAAAAATGATGTATTAAAAAACACAAGAAGTTAAAGTAAAAATATGCACATTGTACTACAGTATATAATAATAATAATACACTTTATTCATATAGCACCTTGTCGAAACATAGTTTGCTTTAAGATCTTTAAATCCATGGACAGCAAGACTGAAACTAAACATGAGAATACATCGCAAATAATAAAACAGAAATACGTGGAACGACATAAGTGAAGAAGAAAAAATTCACATAAAAGCAATTCTAAAAAAGTCAGTTTTTAAAAGTGACTTAAAACAGCAGACAGATGTTGCAGCGCTGATCTCCTCAGGAAAGGTTGCTTTAAAGTCCAGGTGCTCTGACAGCAAAGGCTCTGTCTCCTTTGTGTTCGTGACCTTTGAACGACCAGCAGCTTTACCTCTGAGGATCTCAGGGTGCGCGACGGGGCACAGGGCTTTAAAAGGTCAGATAAATAACTTGGGGCAATGCCTCTCAAGGCCTTGAAACTAAGTCAGCAATAAAATCTTAAAATGGATTCTCATACGACACATGACGTGTACATCACAATAAACACAGTGGTGCATTAGCAGTGAGATATCAATGCTGAATTTAAAGCGTTATAGACTCATCTAGTAAAATCTCTATTCCTGTACTCCCCCCTAATTGAATGCATCACTTGTTTTTGATTAAATATTCTTATCAGCGGGGGATTGCTCGTGGCTGATCTGCAAACGCTGCTCAGACATGTACTAGACATATCTGGATAATTAAACCTTTTAGCGTAATATGATAGGAGTCACATTTACTTTTTTTGCCTTGATGTCGGCACCCATCATCCCCTCTGACTTGTCTTTTTTTTTTTCATCTGTGGAGCATCATTTTGTGTGTGTAGTTTTCCAGCTTCTCATCCATGACATTTTCACCACCGGATCAGATTAATTAAGTCCTCTCTGACAGGTGGGAGACTTGTCGTGTCAGGCGGTAAATTAGCGAAGCTCGTAGCGTTACTTTTGACACACGTTAGAGAGATAAAATATTAAGTGAGTCGTAACATTTGAATGTAAATGGTAAGTACTTATATAGCGCTTTATCCAGTCTTTACGACGCCTCAAAGCGCTTTACATACTACATGTCATTCACACATTCATACAGAGCAGTACCACTTGCTCTAGGACCTAACATTCACACACATTCACACACCGTTGGCCATCAGGAGCAACTCAGGGTTAAGTATAAGGATACATCGACATGTTGACTGCATGGGCTAGGATCGAACCCACAACCTTCAGGTCGAAAGACGACCACACTCCCTCGCAGCCACAGTCGCCCTGTGTGTGTGTGTGTGTGTGTGTGTGTGTGTGTGTGTGTGTGTGTGTGTGTGTGTGTGTGTGTGTGTGTGTGTGTGTGTGTGTGTGTGTGTGTGTCTTATGGGGACAAATTGGAGGTCCCCATGAGAGGAATCATTCCTTTTAGGGTGAAGACTTGGTTAGGTTTAGGGTTAGGGCAGGGGTGCCCAACCTTTTTTGAACCGATAGCTACTTTTAAAGTTGCCAGTCTGCCGAGATCTACCAGTCCAAGCGTCCAGGCGTAGCCATTACTGACAGCCTACTACCAGGTAAATACACACTTCTACTTGTGTAAAACTGAGTAGTGTTGCTACAAAAGTATAAATTAAGCTTACTAATAAGACAACTCAGATCTGAAGCTACACAGGAATCTGCTGCCAAAGTGCAATAAAAAAGACAAAATTAATAGAATCAAACCCCTTTTTTGTTGCATTTAGTAGAGTATAAAAATAAATGCCTTTTTAAAATAGGATGCAAGCAACACTAGTTACTTAACTTAACCTGAATTGATAATAGACTATAACCTTTATCTTTATCTTATACCATTTTGTACAATAATTATAATGAATAAGTTCAAACAAACAAAAACTTACAGCTGATTAATAACGGTATCTAACTTGAGTTTTTATTATATCAAAAACCTGTTGAAATGCTGCTGTTATTTTTACTGTCCCCAAAAAGCGCGTCGGCAGCCTCCAGGAATGCTTCTTTTACAACTTCGCCGTCTTTGAAAGACTCTGGCCTGGCGCCACAAGGGGGCATTGCCCCCTAAGTTGTTTTATTTGCCCCCTCACTTTGAGCATCATTCAGCCATCGAAAAGTTAAATAAATGTCACAATTATTAAATAACTTTAAATAATTATTTTCCCCAACACACGTTACTATATTTAGATCAGATATGTGGGCAGGCAGTCAAGCAACGTGTAAACAAGCCTCAACCCCAAGTGAGCTTGTAGTCTTAATTAATGTTAGCATGTGTGCTTAGCTGTAAACTAGGGCTGAACGATATACCGTGTCATGGCGATAACCGCGGTATTCACACCGCAGGGACGTGCGGTTTTATTCATTTAAAAAAAAAATGCTAACGCACTTTAGCACAGAATTCAAAATAAAGATACCCTTATTACTTATCGAAACTGCACATACAATATATCTGATTAAAGCTGAGACTCCACAGATTATTTAAGTATAGTATCTAAGCGATCCGATCTCGCAACAGGGAAAGCAAACACAGACATCACAACACGTACCTTTTACGGAGCTTTTACGGGAGATCGTCTCACCGTAGCTGTCAATCTGATCAAAAGATGTGTTCAATGGCATTAAAACGAGAAAGAAAAAACGCGGCTGAATCGGTTGATCCATAGGTTGATAATGTATCTGTGGCTTTGAAGCAATTGTTTATAATCCATAATTCCATTTTTATGTAAAAATCGGAGCACAAAAGTTAGCTGCTAATGGTAGCCACCAGAGTGTATGCAGCTTTCGGTTTTGGCTACGCGTCACTCTCACTCCTTATTTGTTCATGTGTTGGTGTGTGTAGAACTTCCCCTGCATGCACAGCAAACCACCAATCACAATCATTCTTGATCAGATCACAGCAGGCCCCGCCCCGCTAGTTTGCAGACCATCAAAACACTGGTAAAAAATGAGCGAGGCACAGGAGGACAATACCGGAGAAAATGGAATTATGGATTATAAATTAAATCATTTTTTTATACAGAGACGTTAAAAACCTATGGATTAACCGATTCAGCCGCGTTTTTTCTTTCTCGTTTTAATGCCATTGAACACGTCTTTTGATCAGATTGACAGCTACGGTGAGACATCTCCCCTAGAAGCTACGTAAAGGTACGTGTTGTGATGTCTGTGTTTGCTTCCCCTGTCCGAGTTCAGATCACTCAGTGATGATACTATATACCTAAATAATCTGTGGAACCTCAGCTTTAATCGGATATCTTGTAAATGCAGCTACGATAAGTAATAATAAGGGTACTTTTATCTTGAGTTCTGTGCCAAAGTGCGTTAGCATTTTTCGCTCAGGGGTCATTTAGATGCTTCTTATGAGACTTGTGTTTTGTTTTGGTAAAAATGGTTTGTATCGTCAGTTAGCTGAGATTATTTCCGTTAATCTGGTATAACACATTAATAGGTTCTTAAATATTACGATGCCCTGAGACACTGTCGTGAGAAAAAAAAAGAAGTAAAGTACCCGCCGGGACTTTGGGGTTTAACAGGTTAAAAAAAAAACGCAATATATACCGCAGGGGGGGGGGAAATCGCGATATCAGTTTTTTTCAATACCGTGCAGCCCTACTGTAAACACAGTCGGATGGGGGACCAAAACGTCCCTGTTTTCCGGGCAAAGTCCCCATTTTCGGAATGTGCGTTAAAAAACATAGAGCAAGATGAAATAAAATGTTAAAAACAGAGTAACAGTGTTGTGCCTGTTTGTAGCATTAGTGTATTTCTTTTTCTAATACTTCTTCTTCTTCTACCTCTACTTCTTCTACCTCTACTTCTTCTTCTTCTACCTCTACTTCTTCTACCTCTACTTCTTCTACCTCTACTTCTTCTTCTTCTACCTCTACTTCTTCTTCTTTTACCTCTACTTCTTCTTCTTCTACCTCTTCTTCTTCTACCCATGGATGTATAATAAGAAGCTTCTAATTCAATGTACCTTCCCGCAAAATATTGGACAAAAGAAAGTCGGCTAGTAGTGTCAACTAAATCCATAGTATTAGAACAAAAATGATTTAAACAAGGTAAATTACGAATGTATGTTCTCAATCTCCAAGTGTGGGATTGAATATTAAATTAGTTTAGATTAGATTTATTGTCCCCAGGGGGAAATTCATTTCCACAGCTCTGTGAAAACAAGATGAAATCGACAAAAAATAAGACAACTACAGATAGCACCACACATGATGCTTACCTGTTATTATTTAGGGCTGCCTGTATGGATCAGGTTTTTGCCAAAGCGAGCCCTTTTACTATAATAATAATATGTTATTATATAAACCGTATTGGTACAATGAGCGACATCTAGTGACGGATTTTTAATCTGTGTCTGTCCATTTGGTGTAGAATTTGATCCAATATTACATTTGGTTTATATATTAGTCACTTTCTTATGGAATGCCAGGTTTTAGGTCTTGGTTTGAACATTCAATCCTGAAAATAAAAAATCAACCAGATTAATTTGTATTTAATCCTGACAAGAGTAGACAGTAAGTAAATAAATCTGTATAGGAAGACGAGTTAAGGGATAGAGGAGAAAAGGTTATGGTATAATTACAGAGCCTGTCCATTTATAAATTGAGGAAATCAATGTTAGTCTGTTAACGTGACTAACAAATTGCAGGCATCTAATAATGTACTATCTATTATTAAAGGTGGGGTAGGTAAGTTTCAGAAACCGGCTCGAGATACACTTTTTGTTATATTCCATGGAATGCTCTTAACATCCCGATAGCAATGAATATCTTAAGTGCTTTGACAAAAAATCCAATCCGTTTAGCCGGGCCGGCTAAACGGATTGGATTGCCGCCTTGTCTGTCAGCCTTCCATCTCGTGCACGCACAAATGTATCTCGTGCCCTCATTGGGCGTGCATTGCAGCAGTACTTCAATGACTCGCCAGCAACAGGCGGCCACTTTCACCAGTCTGCTGACATCATGTGCGCGTTCATGTGTGTTGGAGGAGGTGCTCTGTAAGGAAGTCTGAAGGAAGGGGCGGATTCTTTTCGGCTGTGTACTTTCAAATTTTAGTGCACTCGAGCCGGTTTCTGAAACTTACCTACCCCACCTTTAAAGATCAGAGGAAAAGAACAGAATGAGAGGGGTCAATCGGGAATACAAATAAAGAAGCAAAGAGATTGTAGAGCAGTGAGAATGAAAAAAACTTGGTGTGTCAATTCATTAAATTGCCAGTATTTTTCGTTGTTGTGAAAAAAAAGTCGCCCCCTAGGATTTTTGAACAGCCCCCTCAATCATTTCAGCCTGGAAAGACTTCATGTGTTTCGCAAGAACGTGACTGACACGATAAGATGCTCTGGTAGCAGCCTTGCTCTTGTTGTTGGGCCTGGTGAAAATGGACTGCTGTGCATTTAGCTGTCCTTTCAGGCCCCTCCCCTTTTGGGAGCGTAGGGCAGAATTAGGAGGGAACTCCGTCTCGTAGCGTTTGTGCACTGTTTTGAAATGCCGCTCCTAAATTACCCTTCTTCGATAAAGCCACGCTCGCATTGCAGATGAGACAGATGGACTTTGAATTGGAATAAATACAAAAATAATCATCCTCCCACTCGGAGTGAAAAATTATATATGTTGTTTTTTTTTGCTTCTGCCATAATTGCGGTCTTGTGTGTGTGCGGACTGGCACTCCTGTTGACACGGACAACGTCAGCGAAATAGTGCCAACTGCCCACCAGCCACGCCCCGACACATGGGGTCACGCCGGCCAATCACAAAGCTTTGATGCGTTCAAGTGCATTATTCTGGCACAGGAAGATTATTCATTAACGATAAAACAGAATATTGTTGTTCTATTTTTAGACACATATCGCGATCGACTGGGAATCTCCCCGGTCGATCGCGATCGACTGGTTGGGCACCCCTGGGTTAGGGTAAGGCATGTGTTGGTTATGGTTAAGGTTAGGATAAGTCTCCAGGAAATGCATGTAAGTCAATGTAATGTCCCCTGAAGTGATGTATACATGGTATGTGTGTGTGTGTCAGTGAGCAGAGGTGGAGTAGTGGAGTACAAATACTTTGTTACTGTACTGAAGTACATTTTTCTGGTATCAGTACTTTACTCCACTACTTATTGGATGACTTTTTACTTTGACTTCTTACATTTTGAACCCAAATACCTGTACTTTCTACTTCTTACATGTTGAACACAAATACCTGTACTTTCTACTTCTTACTAGGGATGGGAATTTGAAAGCAAATGTATATTCGAATATTCGACCCCCCCAAAAACCGGTTAACCGAAATGTACATATCCTATAAAAAAAAAATTGGGTAAAAAAAAATGTTTCAAAAAAAATGTCAGAATATTTTTTTTACATTTTTTTTTCAATAATTTTTTAGAAATACATACATGTTCAAGTAAATAATTACCGGACTATGGCTGGTAAAATATGTTGAATACCGGCAAAACTAAATCTCTCCAGTCAAAATGTCTATGTTCTTTGCCGCCACACACAGTTGCCAAGCAGCGCTTATTGTTGTTTAGGCTGGCCACTCATGTGTCGCGAGTGTTGACAGGGGGCGGGGGAGCACGCTCATGAACTGTTAGCGCTGGAAACCTCGCAATGGCTGCGGAGTTCATTTGGGCCTAAGATGAGGTTTGAGTCTGCGTGATCTGCGTGTAGGGAGGGGCAGCAGCCATATCATCAGCTAGAACTATAGATCTGATGGATTTGGACATAAACGCGAGTGAAGTATAACCGGACACGAGAGAGAGAGATCAGCACCTGCAGCTCTGCCCGCTGTGAGGGACCGGTGAGCGGAGCAAAACACACCTTTAGACGTCACCTAACACATTTAGCTATGGCACAGTCGTATATATATTAGACCCTCCAGAAAAACGCGGGCAAAAATCTTTGATTATGCGGGCTAAAATCCGTGATTATGCGGGCTAAAATCATTGATTATGCGATCAAACATGCAGGGTTTTATGTGATTTTATGCGGTGAAATTGCGGGAAGTTGCGAAATATGCTAAATATGCGGAAAAAATAAATATTGGGTTGTCTTATTTATTTATTCTCTCTCACACACAACCTGCCACTAACGTTAAACCCCTTTACTATTCAATTAAACACATTCAATGTTTATTTATTGTAAAAGAAATTGGGCTATTTTAATCACACTCTCTCTCACACACACACACACACACACACTTCTCCGCCTCATTCTGTTTTCATTTACTCGTTCGTTATCTGACCAGTTTCAATCTTGTAGGCTACTCACTTCGTTTCTTGTAGCCCTCGAAAGGGTTTTGGAGGTCGATGCCTCGGTGAACGTGAGTTGTTTGGCTTTCTTGTCCGCAGCAGCAGAAAGCATTTTCGAATGTTTGAATGAATCAAAGTGGGTCGTCACCGTCGATGTTCTCTTATGCTCCAACACACAGTTGCACGGGGTGCAGAATAGTTTACCCCCACTTTCGTGCAAAACATCGGGGAACTGCTTTGCCCGGTCTTTAGCAGAAATGTTCGTCGGTAAATGAGATGGATTAGATTTTTTCATCTTGGTGTTTTCTCTCTCGTGTGAGCTCCACACGTTCACTCTACGGTGTTGTTTACCTTCTGTGATGCGCGAGCTGATGAAGTCGCATCATCATCATCAATTCACGTGAAAACGAGTTAACTTGCGGGGGGGAAAAATGCGGGGATTATGCAGCCTTTTGATAAATATGTGTTCTTTTAAAAATCTGCGCCATTTTGCTGATTATGCGGTAAATTCTGCGATCGCAGAATCGCGTTTTTCTGGAGGGTCTAATATATACATTGAATTATTCAATTTGATAATATGTAATCAACTTAGGCATCTCCCAAAAAAATATTTATAAAAAAATATATATATTTATAAAAATATTCATAACTCATATTCGAATACCTGAATAATTACGAATATTCGATTAATCGTTCCCATCCCTACTTCTTACATGTTGAACACAAATACCTGTACTTTCTACTTCTCACATTTCCCAAACAGCTGGTTCCTTTAGTCTGAATGTGTGTTTGATGTGTGATCATTATTCTTTAGAGTCATTGCGTGCCTATTGATTTGAACACGATCCGTGTATCCATCATTTCCTGGTCTTCTCTAAAGAAGAGGGACCAATGGAAACGTTGTCATGTTGCCGTTGTTCAGCATGGAAACATTCATTAGCTAACAATGACATTATTGTTCTATTAATATAAAGGGAGGTCAGGTACTCTTTAAAGCAGCTGCTAGCTATGGGTACTTTTTACTGAAGTACATTTCAAAGCCTCTTTACTTTCACTTGAGTAAAGAAGTTTAGTCAGTACTTCTACTTTCACCAGAGTATTTTTAAACACGAGTATCTGTACTTCTACTTGAGTAAAGGATGTGTGTACTTTTGCCCTCTCTGTCAGTGAGTAATTTAGCAGGGAGGCTGAAGCCCAGCGACACAGAGAGCCTGCTTCCCGCTCTCAACTTCCTGTACTGCTGCCTGAGCCTGTCCCCGGCACACTGCACCGACAGAGGTGAGACACACTCCCTGTCTCTACATCTCCTCTTGTGTGTTTTCCTCTCCCCCCCTCTCCCAAAGTTACATCTTTCACACACTCTGCCTCCTCACCCTCTGCCTGTTTCTCTCTCCTCCATGTCTTTTCTTCTGCCCTCTTCTGACAACAGGGAGAGGATGACCTAGACAAGCTGACACCTACTGTATATATTCACATAACTGTACACACAGGAAGTGGCTCAGTCCTGCACATTGTCTTACTCTAGGGGTGCACAATAAAGCGAAATATGGACTATTGCAATGTCCAAATAGCAAAGGCAAAATAATTGTAGTTGTATTGTTATTGTAATGCTGCAAACGGTGTTCTACAAAATGAATACATAATATTCAAAAAAAGATAATTGCAATTTCTCCATATAATGCAGTGAAGTTGGAGAGATTCTCACACATGTTTTGTTGTGACCAGAGTTTCCGTTAGAATCTTTTTTTGCCGGTCAACATAAAGTTTAAATCTTCTGGACAAAATGAGAAAAGTGCCGGTCAAAGGTCTTCTTTGTTATTTATTGAGCTTTAAAACAAATTGATATGATTCGATATTAAACAAACTAATTATAGTAGATTAACTACATTATTCAAAAGTGTTCAGTAACTTACAATAACACGGGAATAATAAACGGAGCGCTCTCTCCTTCTCCTGACAGCCCGTCAGTCTCATGCAGCTCGCGGATCAGTAATGAGTGACCCGACAGTAAAACTAAACATATCTATAACTAGTTACGGTAGTTTGAGAGGTGATTAAAATAGCTACGTGTGATATTCTAACCTGAAGTGTGTGTTTTGTCCGCTCACCGCTGCATGTGATCATGCAGAGCTGCATGTCGACTCGTCAGCAGCAGCTGATCTCTCTCTCCCGCCAGATTAGACTTCACTCGCGTTTATGTCCATATCGATCAGATCCAGCTAGTTCTAGCTAATGATAGGACTACCTGCTTATTAAAAGACACCTACACAATAAGTGTCGCTATGCAACTGGGTGAGGCCACAAAGTATAGCACAGCATTATGTATTTGTTTACATGCCCACCGGAACCCCGAGGCATTACCAACAGATCAACGCACAATCAACCCACACAGGACATCTCTTTCTCCACATTAAGTGTTAGACATTAGAATGGACTATTCATGTCTGTCACACACTCTGTCACACACTCTTCATGTCTGTCACACACTCTGTCACACACTCTTCATGTCTGTCACACACTCTTCATGTCTGTCACACACTCTTCTTGTCTGTCACACACTCTTCTTGTCTGTCACACACTCTTGTCTGTCACACACTCTTCTTGTCTGTCACACACTCTTCTTGTCTGTCACACACTCTTCTTGTCTGTCACACACTCTTCTTTGTCTGTCACACACTTTCTTGTCTGTCACACACTTTCTTGTCTGTCACACACTCT